AAAGGAAGATAATAATAGAGTAATGATATAATAATATAATATATAGTAGAAAACTTGTAATATTATTTACTTAATAAAATGTATCATTAATGCTATTTATATTATATCCATAATAAATAATAATAAGTAAATTATATTAATCAAAGTACAACATTGAAATAAAAATATATTTAAAAATGAGATAATAATTTATTGACTATAAATAATAATACAGTAATGATATGTGTTGATGTTAATAATCAAACATATAATAAAATGAGAGTGAGGTTGATTAGAGAGCCGCTAACTTCTCTGAATACCTGGTTTTGAGTTGAGTAGCTTCAACCTACACAAATAGCAACTCGTAAGAGGACGATGACTAGTTCCCTCGTTGTTCTTCCGACGATCAAGTCAGTGAAGGACTTGAGTGGGAAAATGATGAACTTTATGAGTTCTTCAGTGTAGTGCAGCGAAAATCTAAGATATTGCTTGCTTACCTTGGTATTTGGAATAGTACCCCTATTTATAGTGGTGGTAAAAGGGTAGAATGGTAATCTCGACCAAGTACAGGATGACGACAAATGAGTATGGGATGGCGGCTACGTCAGCATCTGCTTTACACACTATAAGAAATCCAGTATTTAACGATCAAAATTAGTGAAGGGACTAGTTGACTGTTGTTTTCGTCAAAAGTTGACTTTGTCATGGAATTCATTATATCTTTGGTCGATTACAATTAATTCAAAAAAGAGATAGCCTTTTTATAAGACTCCTTTTACACAACAAAAGGAAAAATTACAACTCTTGAGAAATAAACGCAGGATCGTTGTTTGGATCGCTGCTTGTGTGAGATCTTTGCCTGTGCCGGGAGCGCTTTGACTCGTGGACCACCAAATCATAGATTCTGATTGAATCGTGAGGGGTTTAATGATTCTTCCTTCGTTTATCGAAGTGAGAATTTGAAACGATATCTTATCAAAGTAAGATAGTTGTTCTTCTTGAAATCAAGTCAAAGCTTGAATCTCAAGGGATTGATGGAAGCTCAAGAACTCTGCTCTGTCTGCTCTGAAGTGCTTTAAATGATCAGCCCCCCTCAAAAATGGCCTTCGAGGGGTATTTATAACCCCTATGAACAGTTGGCGGAAAACAAGCTCGCGAGACAGCATTTGCTGTCTCGGCTGCCGAGACAGTGTTTGCTGTCTCGACGGGCGAGACAGTGTTTGCTGTCTCGGCCCGCGAGACAGTAAACACTATCTCGGAAAAGGAATATTCCTGACAGTTTTCGCTGTAACTGCCTTCCCACGTTTCAAACTCCGTTATTTTGGCAGTTATCAACGTGATTCTCACCCACGACGTTTCCCACGTTCTTGAATAGTTAGTGGCCACGTGTTGGCGGTTATGCAAAGTAGTTTTGACCCTCTGAGAGCTGTCTCACGTGCGAGACAGTAAATTCTGTCTCGCACGGCGAGACAGTAAAGACTGTCTCGCGTGGGCGAGACAGTAAAAGTCTGTCTCGCCCGCGAGACAGTAAAGACTATCTCGCACGGCGAGACAGTCAAGTCTGTCTCATGTGCGAGACAGTAAAGACTGTCTCGCGTGCGAGACAGTCTATACTTGTGTTCTTTTTTTGACATTTTGGATGACTTCCTTTTGAGCTGTGTTTGGATATCTCTCAGTATTTTTTGACGCCTACAAATACCACCTCCAAAGTATTCCAGACTCAATTTTTTATAGAGGAGTTCTGGGATACTTTGGATAAGATAGGTCTTACTTATGATCCTTTCAATACTTGATTGAGTAGATCGTGTAGAAGAATCTGTAAAATGGCTCCAGCTCTTGATCCCTTCATCCATTAATCTATTCAATTCCTTGTAGAATAGTTAATGCTTCTCCGGCACTGCGTTTATCGGAAGAATTTTATATTCTATCTCCTGGTCTCTTTTTTGTTGGTAGAGATGAACCCGGAATCGGAGAGGAATAATTTTATATTCTATCTTCTGGTCTCTTGTTTGTTGGTAGAAATGAACCCAGAATCGAAGAGGAAGAATTTTATATTCTATCTCCTGGTCTCTTATTTGTTGGTAGAGATAAACCCAAAATCGGAGAGGAAGAATTTTATATTCTATTTCCTGGTCTCTTGTTTGTTGGTAGAGATAAACCCGAAATTGGAGAGGAAGAATTTTATATTCTATCTCCTGGTCTAAAGGAAACTCGAAGTGGGATCTCCACCTAGAGAATCTGGATTGGTTTGAATAATCCTAACTGTCATAAAGTTTGATTATTCAACTGAAAGTGGACCTCTCGTTCGTGGAATGAATCGAGAAGGGATTTTGGTTGTGGTCCTAACTGTAGTAAGGTTTGACCAAGTGGGAGGTTTTGAGACGATCCTAACTGTATTTTGGCTTTGGTCCTAACTGTTTTAAAGGTTTGACCAAATAAGAATTTGAGAGGGAAGATTGATCTAAAGAAGTGATCGAATCTCATCTCAGCAAAAGAGTATTCGGAAATCACCATGGGGATATAGTGTTTATCACTTCGTTTGTAATAATCGGGTTATCCCTGAGAAAATTATATATAACATTCTTTTGGGAACTTCCGTTACACGAACCACCCACCCTCAGCTTTCTTCGCGAAAATGGGTCTAACATCATACTGAGTCACATGACCGGGTTATCCTTAAGAATATTACATGTAAAATAATTCTCCAGGAACTTCCCGTCAAGAGTGGAAAACAGTTTAGACTCATATACTTATTGGAGTATCAGGGGGCAGTTTAACCTCGTATACTGGTTGGAGGAATGAGAAGCAGTTTTTACTCGTATACTCTTTGGAGTTACATGAAGAAGCAGTTTATACTCGTATACTCTTCGGAGTTAGGGGAAAACAGTTTATGCTCGTGTATCCCATGGAGTTAAGGAGAACAGTTTATACTCGTGTATCCAATGGAGTTTTGCATCGTCTTTATTTGGCTTGTTTCGCCATTATGACACCGGAGTCAATTAATGCTTGGATTTTATTTTTGAGTCCGAAGCAAATCTCGGTGGGATGAAGAACCTTTCTGTGGTACACACAGTAGTTTGGATCCGTAATCCTATTAGCTCCCTCCTGATCTTTAATAGGTGGTAGCTCGATTTTATCGTTGGCGAGGAGGTATTTCAAGATGGTTGGAGCTTCATTATCTTCGAAAGAATACTCTTTTTGGAACCTCGGATCGAGAGTTGCGTTCACAGGAATTGTGGATGTCGTCGGTTGACCTCTCTCAACTTTCTTTCTTTTAAGAAAGTGTTCAGCTTGTTCGCCACGTAATTTTAACTCTTTCCAAGTTTTGGATGGTACAATCCCCAGGGTTTCCAGGACATCGATGAAGAGATTATTGTGGCATGTTTCAGGATAAACTCCTCTATAACAGGATCTCTGCAATTCATTGCTTTGTCACGGAAGCGCTTGACAAAATTATCAATAGATTCTCCGTCTTTTTGCTTCTCATCCAAAAGGGCTCCGACTGACACTTCGGTGTCATCATCGAAGAAGTTATTGAGGAACAAACTTTCCATGTCATCCCAGCAATTGGTGTTCCCTGGTTTGAGCCGTCGGTACCAATCGAAGACGGGCTCACGAAGGGTGCCAACGAATGACCAGACCATTAAAGCCTCGTTTCCAGAGATCATGCCCAAATGAGACTTGAAATAAATCAAGTACTGAATAGGCGAGCTCTTCTCCTCAAACGGTGTGAAGTTAATCAGATTGAACTTTACCGGATACGATATTGAATCTCATTCTCTTGGATAGGGACATGGAATACCCGTCTTCTTCACTTCTTGAGCCGTCATCAAAGCGTTGATTTTGTTTTTAAGCTCTCTCATTTTCCCTTTATCGTCTATGTCTTCATTCGAAGGACGTTGAGGAGAATGAGTTAGACCACCCCCTGTGAGAGGTGCTATTGAACCACCCCCAATCTCGTTATTGGGAGAATCCGTTAGACCACCCCCAGAGCTATTGCTATTGGGAGGTGCATCAGCAAAGATGACTTCCTCCACTTCCGGATCACTGTCATCTGCAATATTTTGAGTGCGGCGACTGGATTCAGCTCGCTGACTGGACTCAGGAAGTTGAGACCGTTGAGCTAGCAATTCTTTTATTTGTTGAATAGTTAACTCCATCTCTGTCTTCATCTCAGCTCTAATTTCTTCACGTTGCTTGGCTAGAGCTTCTTGAAGCATTTGAGCAAATTGATCAGAGGTGATTGTGAGTACTTCTCTGG